GGTCTTTTCCAACCCAGCGATTCTGTGATTCAGAAGTACATGCTTCAGAGTGTGTGCTGAGCCTGGTTTGGTTTTTCCTTTTGTCGTTCAATTCACCGCTGTGTGAAAGGTTGGATTCCGGGGAGGAAGAGACCCGGGCAGCAGGAAAACGACTCTTGAAGCTTAAATAAAACACACGAAGTTTTGCCCGGGTTATGCTTGCACGTGGCTCCTGATCAGAGGGAGAAACGAGGCCTTGGGTGCACAGGGGTGTGTGACGAAAAGACACTCTTCTGCAGAGTTTAAATTTAACAATTTATTTGAACAACAAGTGCAGATGCAGTACGTCACTATTGCAGGTTTATGGATACAATGGAGAATGCCCTATTGCAGTTTTAAAAAGTAAGACTACGCTATTTACAACCACAAGAGATTCACAAAATGCACTGTTGTAACTACAACAGTCACAAAATGCACTATTACAGCCCACGGGCAATTCACGACAGACCGCAGACCACTCACAAAACTCACTGTTACTGCTCATAAGCAGTTCACAACAACTCCCAGGCTACTCACAAAATTCACTTATTACAACTCCCATGCGATTCATGGAACACACTGTCACAACTCACAAACAACTCAGAATACCACAGAATACCACACATGTGTCAGTCTATCACCTGTGTCTACAAACTTAAAACCTGCCAAATATTCACTTACCCCTCCAGGTAAGGGCTCCCACGTAAGTTACCTTGACCAGAATTCCAACCAAGGGGGAAAGTTCTCATCATTCCATGGCTGGAGAAGTAACTCCTTATTTCTAGCCTGAATTGTAGGGTTTTTATCCCCTGGTGTACGGGACAGCAGGCAGGGGGATGTCTCAGTAGATTAGACCATCTGGGTGGTTTTTTCTTCCACAGTGCCTGTCCTTATCTTTGTTTATTCATGGATGTTGTTCCCTTCTGTATGCTCTATCTCTTGCATATTTTTGTATTGTTTGGTCACTTGGGGTCAGACAGACATCCTCCTGCTTACTTTGTTTACTTTCCAGCAACTTTATAGTGGTTTGATTGGGACTCAGGGCATACTATTTGTTGGGGAATTTCAAGGCTCAGCTCAGGTTTCGGTTCTTTGAATGGTGCAACACTGCCCTGTTTAGTTTCCTGCTCACCAGACAACTCAGAGCTGAGCTATCTACACAGCTCCCCATGGGTCGTCTCTGCAGAGACAGGGCCTCAAGGCAATCTAAGGCTGAGTTGCTCCTGCAACCCCCCCACAAGTCGCCTGGTGCACTGGACATCACCGAAACCTGCTTAAACTATGAGCCAGACCGATCCTTACAGAGTGGAAACGTAACGCGGTTGGGGTATTGCAGACCCCCAAAATACGTTCAGCTGCCTTCAAACGGCTCTGTGAAACGTCCTTAACTGTTCATACACTTTTCGAATTTACAAAAGCGGATCGGAGGGACCTGTCCTGCTGCTGTTACACGGCGGGGGCCATTCTGCTCTCTCCTGGGCTGTGTTTACTGTAAGTAAAGCTGCTGCTTTATACAGGGATGTATTTGTATGCAAGTACGGCCTGAGTGTGGAAGGTAAGCGACCATTCCAGCTACGTTTGAAGCACAGGAAAATCAATTTAGAAAACTCTCATAATCTCTTGGTGTGTACCTGACTCACGTCTCCTAAATAGTTCGCCATCGGTGCGCTTATTAAATAGGCAAAGCACATGCAAAGGTGGTTTTATCATCAAAGGTTTTAACAGCAGCAACCAGAGCTGCGTCTGCCAAATAGCTCACGTGTTTAATAAATCCCAAGACATTTCTCATCGTGGCATATCCATTTTTTTTTTCCCCCAAAAGGCTGCTTTTTCCTGGAAGTTCAACAGCTTTTTCTCATCGTGACAATATTGTCTTTGCACGGTTTGTCTTGTGGAGAAGTCTCATTTCGGGTAACTCGTTGAAACGCAAACTGAGGTGGTGGCAATAGGAGTGAGCGTGGGGGTTGGCCAAGCCAAAATTCCTCCCTCCCGCTCGTTCCCTTTAAAAAATGAAGGGAGTTAAGGGAAAAAAAAAGATTTCTAAAGGATTTCAAGTGAAATTACTTGCGGTGTAAAGGGGGGGCCTTTTTAATCCAGGAACTCTTTGAGCTGTCTAATGCTCTTAACTGAAAGTTGCTACGTGATGACTCCCATGAAGTGTGACTTGACAAATGAAGCCTCTGCATCTCCCCATGCCTTTGGCTGCATGCTGGTTGTTACCCTCGAGCAGTTTGGTGGGCTGGAGATGACAGCAGAGATGGAAACGAGTAACAGGAATGAACGTTTGATGAGAGTCACCAGCAACTGCTCTTCAATTCCCAACGTGACTCCTGTTTGAGTAACCCTGATGGTGCAATCGTAAACCATCTTATGCTGTGAGGAGACAGCTTAGAAAAATGCTTTGCCAGCTGGGCTGTAGTTTTGGTGCTGAGTGGTAGTTTTACGCCTAACAGTCCATTTGTAGCTGTAGCTGACTCAGAGGCTGGTACGGATGGGGGTCTTCTGAAACTGTTGAGCTTTAAGTCTTGATGGATCCCCTGTGCTGGGCACTGCTGAGGCCGCCTCTCAAATCCTGGGGTCAGTTTTGGGTCCCAAAAAGGACACTGGGGGGCTGGAGCGTGACCAGAGAAGGGCAATGGAGCTGGGGAGGGGTCTGGAGCAGCCGAATGCTGGAGAGCAGCTGAGGGAGCTGGGGGGTTCAAGTGGAGAAGAGGAGGTGAGGGGAGAGCTTTTCCCCTCTGCAGGTCCTGAAAGGAGAGCGTAGCAAGTGAGGGTCCATCTCTTCTCCCAAGTAACCAGTGATAGGACAAGAAGAAATGGCCTCAAGTTGCACCAGGGGAGGTTTAGATTGGATATTTGAAGGAATTTCTTCACTGAAAGGGTTGTCAGACACTGGAAGGGGCTCACCAGGGCAGAGGTGGAGTCCCCATCCCTGGAGGTGTTCAAGAAGTGGTGGATGTGGCACTTGGGGCCATGGTTTAGTGGCCATGGTGGGGTTGGGTTGATGGACTTGATGATCTTAGAGGTCTCTTCCAACCTCAGTGTCTCTGGGGATATCTTTTCCTCTGATAGTTTCATGGTTTTGTTGTGGTACACAAATGCCTTAAACATGTAGTGAAGGTCGCTGCTTTTAACTGGAGGCAGAGGGTTGAAGTCACTTTTTTATGAGTTAAGGAAACAGCTCCTAACAAATTCCACCTCCTGTAGAGCTCTTTATTTCCAACACCGTTTTTACATTTAAAAAATCTCCAGAGTTGAATTTAACGGAGTGATTGAAGTTACCGCACTGTTCCTCACAGTTGATGGCTTTTTATGTTGCTGTTAGCAATTAAGAAAGTTAAAGCATGTACAAGATTCACGCAGATTTACAGCTTGCACTTGAGACTGCATCTGGAGACAAGGGCTACCACAGCAATCGGCTCCTGCCTTTGTGTGGCTGCTATGGGATTATTACCTTGGTGCATTTTGAAACCATCAAAATCACAGCATGTGCTGGGTTGGAAGGGACCTTTAAAGCTCATCCAGTCCAACCCCTGCACTCAACAGGGACATTGGTACCAGATCAGGTTGCTCACAGCCCCATCAAGCCTGGCCTTGAACATCTCCAGGGATGGGGCCTGCACCACCTCTCTGGGCAACCTGTGCCACTGATCTACCACCTCATGGGGAAGAGCTTTTTCCTCATATCCAACCTAAATCTGCCCTTTTCCAGTTTAAAACCATTTCCCCTCGTCCTATCGCTACCTGCCCTTGTAAAAAGTCCCTTCCCAGCTTTCCTGTAGGACTCCTTCAGGAACTGGAAGGCTGAAATAAGGTT